GCCTGGCCCAGCTGTGGTGTGACCCAGTGCTACGGCCTGGCCCAGTTGTGGTGTGACCCAGTGCTATAGTCTGGCCTGGTTCCAGTGTGACCCAGTGCTACGGCCTGGCCCGGTTGTGGTGTGACCCAGTGCTACGGTCTGGCCCGGCTGTGGTGTGACCAGCTCCAGTCTCACCCAGTCGATGTTGTCCAGCCAGTTGTCTCGAATCTGCTGCTCCTTGTTGAGGAAGTAGTTTCCCTCCGAATCAAAGTGTCCCTCCTGCATTTCCTCTTCCAGGTTAAAGGGCGTGATGCGCACCCCCTCGTCAAAGTCCAGGGTCGCCGATTCCTGGCCTGCACAGGGGAGACAGCGGGGGAGTGAGAGAGCAGACAGAGTGAGCCGCACTCACACGGCGACGACAGAGTGAGACAGTACCCTCCACATCGTCACTGGCCAGCATGTCATACTTCTGTCCCTCTTCCTCTTCCTCCTCATCACTGTCCAGGGAATGTTTACCCTTGAACCTGGAGCCAGGGCCACTGACATTGTCACACACCTGCAGCAGGGAGAGAGAGAATCACACACACTGTTACACCCGCAGAAAGAGAGACAAAAACTGTCACACACCCGCAGAAAGAGAGAGACACACAGTCACACACCCGCGCAGAGAGAGAGACACACAGTCACACACCCGCAGAGAGAGAGAGACACACAGACACACACCCGCAGAGAGAGAGAGACACACAGTCACACACCCGCAGAGAGAGACAAACACACAGACACACACCCGCAGAGAGAGCGAGAAACTGTCACACTCAGTACTGTGTTCACATACAGTCTCATACCCTCCAGACAGGGTCTCTACTCAGGACTGTATTAACCATATGGTATTTCTGCTGAGAAAGAGTACTGAACCTTCTTATTTGGAGGGTCATTCTCCAGACTGTACTCTCCATTCTCATCCTCAAACATCACCCTGCGCTTCGACATCCTGAGGGAGACAGAGGAATAAGGCAGAGAGGGGTTAATACAGACACACTGACTGGACACTCCAGTACATTAACACTGCACTGAGAGAGAGAGGGGTTCATACACACACACTGACTGGACACT